AGGGAAAGATTTGTTTCATCAAAAGAAGCTCATTCCGCCAATTCTGCAGAGAATGACTGTGGGAAAGGGTGATGAGTAAGTAAGACAAAAAATAGAAATCCATTATAAGAATATCATAATAGGCCAGGTATAAAGTAATGAGGGTCCAAAGCATGAAGCTGTAGCCAGGAAAAAGGAAATGACTGGAAAAGTTTAAAATACAGGAGGCTCAATAGGACATGTTGATAAAAGGAGAGATCAGGGGACCAGCTCACAAACATTCAGTGGAATGAGACAATGGTTTTCTCATCTTGCGGTCTACATGTTTGTTTACAATGATTCTCTTGATGCCTCTGTCTTTGACTTCAGAGAGATGAAAGGGCATAAGGGAGGGAACCATTTTTCATCACAAGCACTGCACTCTCTACAAAGTTTACTAACCTCTCCCATCTGAGTCCTCTGTTGACTAGGACATAGACTATAGAAGAGGTTGGATATTGCTGGTGGTAGAGAGAATACCATTGTTGCTTTTCAGTCAACCCTGTGGGGAAGTAGCTGGTATCAACTGTCAGAAACTTGTTTTAGAATGTTGAGATAGCACCACTTCCCCTTCAAATTCTGGCTTTAAAAGCAAATACAAAAGAGCAAAAATCCAAATAGAGACATCCTTTATTTGTCTAAATGTTCTAAGCTGATTTCATTCCTTGTGTCTAGATAGTCAGAGTCTACTTCATAAGTTATACTCTCTTTTCTACTCCTTTTGACCAAATTTACATCCATCAGTATCTTGACTCCAGATGATATTGCACATGGCTCCAAATACTTTTAGTTAAGTAAAAACTTTCTAAAATCTGATCATATTCATAAAACCTGGACAGATTGGCAATGCTTTTTGCAACTGTAAAACGTCATCTAGACACAGACTATTTTTTAGAGAGATTTTTGCTATAGGGGTGCAGGCACTCATAGGAGAGACAGAGACAGAGGGAAATCACCCTCCAGCGGGGATGGGCATGTCACAATCTCTTCTCCTCCATTATCCTCTTGGGATTTTGCACATGCATGCACACATGCCCTGTGTGAGTTTAAAGCTGCTGAGTCTGGCACTCTCACCATGGTTGATTAT